TTAAATCTCAGAATTACCGGGTTCTTTGGACTTCGGCCATCGTCCACTCTTCTAGGAGCCAGAAAACACATAGTTTCGGAAACTGGATCTGTTTCCGTCCTCAGGTGAGGGGGGAAGGCACCTACTTAGTTGGGTCACTTCCTTCGTGTAACAAGACATCTTAAGTTATTTAATACATAACAAGCACTCACCACTGACGAATGCAGCAGCATTTTCAGACTCCCACAATTCAGAGTGAAAATGGGATATCATCACATAACAAGCATAAATTCACAATTCGACTCACACATCAGCACAGCGAACATAACCACGCACTGACAATAGTTACCGCCATCGAACTATTGCTCCGTTCCCGCGGTTCCCGCTCTTAAGCGTTCTCAAGCCTGTTCCAAATACAAATAGTCAACGATCACAATTCGAAAGAAATAGTGTGTGCTGCCATCTAATGATAGCTTAAAAATTAGAAACACAAAAATGTGACGAACGAAATACGAGTTACTGCGCTTTCCGCCTGCATCTATTGCAACATTAACATGACAGCCAAGAACAACGGAAGGTGCTGTGGTGAACAGGTACTCATCTTACATGTTTGCATCACATTTCTGGTTCTAAAGCCCAGCACGTAGTGCTACACTACATGCAGAACTCTGTAAAAGACAGTCATGCAAAGTAGCATTCGGCGGTTGTAGGTGGTGTCTCATGCGGCTGAATACATCCCACAAAACTCAACTTAAATAGTAAAATAATCAATAATTCCTTTCGACATGGGCTTGATGAGGCATGTACTGTCTTCGCTCCTTTCGAAACCGGGATCGTGGGTTCGAATCCCACTCAGGGCATGGATGTTTAGTTTGTGTGTGTGTGCGTTTTTCTGTGTTTGTGTACAGGTAGAGGCCTTGCAACGAGCTGATCACCCGTCCAAGGAGTCCTACCGAACGTGTAAGATCTAGAAAAACCGAAATGAACGGAGAAGTTCATGGAGGTAGGCCTAGGCCCACTGGGGCTGTAGTGCCAAGGGGGGGAAAAAAGGCTTGATGAATGACGTGAACTTCTGTAAACCTCTAAATCTGTGTTTCTCAACTGATGGGATGCGTTCCATTTGTAGCCTCCCACAGTCGGCTGGATGGGATGAAAAGATTAAAATCATTAAATTAAATTAGATTAACATCAGTAAATTATTAATTAAAAAAACTGAATAGCTACAAGTCTTGAAGAAAAAGAAGCGTTGTGTTTACTGTACCGGGATTGTGGCTCTCTGACAAACTGACCCGTGGAACGCAAAATGCAGAAAGCTGAGATTCAGTGCTGAAAGCAGGTTCAAACTTATCAAATGTCTGTGAAACTGGTAGCAGTTCTTATTATTATTTGTAGCAGCCTGACCGGTATCTTCAATTACGCCATGGCCTCTTCCTTGCACGACCTCCCCTATTCGTTAAAAAATCTGAGAATCAGTCTTAGACCTACATCGACAGTAACATCGAAATGATAGGCGAATTAGTGACCCATGTACCAAGCGGATTCAGTCTTACTTACTCATGGAGCTGAGCCCCTCTTGAGGAGGCGCTAATTCTGCAGCTACTCAAGAATTTACCAGCATTTCATGGAACCCGAAGGTTCATTACCGTGTTCACAAGAGCCCTCCAATGGTCCCTATCCTGAGCCAGATCTATCCAATCCATATCATCCCATCATATCTCTCTAAGATCCATTCTAAGATCCACCTACGCCTTGGTCGTCCCAGTGGTCCCTTTCCTTCCGGCTTTCCCACCAATATCCTATACGCATTCCTCGTCTCCCCCATTCGTACTACATGACCTGCCCACCTCATCCTCCTTGACTTGATCATTCTAATTATACTTGGAGAAGAGTACAAGTTATGAAGCTAATAGTATTAGCAACATTCATAATAATTCATAAATGTATGTATATATTTAAGTCTTCTTTAGATTTATGCTCACAGATTTATTTCTGTCATATTTGTATTTTGTTTTAATTATTTTTTGTATCTCTATATACTCGTGCTAACTTTGTAATTGGCCACTGTGTTGTTAAGTTATTGCACGTAAATAAACATGAACTGAATTGAATTGAAATATCTGAACTGTGGAACCCACGAAATATAACAAAAAA